TTTTTTTGCCTATTCTACAATACGTCATTAAAAATCACCGTAATGCAGTATCGATTTTCATGTGACGGCAAAGTTTGAAGAATAGGATGTCCAGTTTGAACACGTGCCACCAGAATCGACGAAAGCAGCTCCACTTTCTAATTTGCATCCACTTTCCTAATCTGTTTAGCGTAGTTAAGGTTCCTGAACTCATTGTGCCTAATTCCTCGTCCATCCCAACGAATTTAATCCCGTCCTTTGCTACATCCAAATGCACTGTAGTAATACAGTCAGAAGCTGCTTACTCTTTGATCATAGGTTGGAGCACTTGCGCTCCAACTCCAATTGCTATTGGCGTGAGTGCGGCGATTGGTGGTGTGCAGTCAATCGCTCTCTCGGATAGCACATAGCCGGCAAGCAAGCCCTGCAAAACTGTGCTCTCGCAACGCCGCATCCCAATCAGTTGTCGTGCACTTCTACAGTACAATCACAACGTATACCTCAACCAGAGCAAACAGAAGCAACAAGTGGCGGAGCAGCAAATCAGTCCAAGCGTGTTTGCCGGAATCCGACGATTTACTAACATAACGAAACATGATCAGCGGCAGAATGACATATGCGCCAACAGTTGCACCGACGCCACTGAAAAAAACTCTGATAGGCAAAGTACTTTTAAACCTTTCCACTTACAGCAGTGGCTTTTTCATCCTCCCACATCTGCCATACTTAGAGCATATTCTTCGAAAATGCACAGAATCACTGGATAAGATAGCAGTGCACCTAAAAAGCCAACGCAAATGTGCATTTTTTTTTTTTTTTTTTCAAATGTCCAGCTGATATGTGAAAATCGAGATCGTGTATCTATGCAGTATAGCTGAAAGATGCAATCGTACGTTTTCATCAGCTTCAGGGCGTTAAAGAGTGTGAGAACTGATCCAGAGACAACGTATTTTTTGTTTCACACGCAGCTAGGTTATGACTATACAGTCAAAAATTTTAACTTCCAACGTTTTCGGCATTTCTGAACCGGACCAACACTTGTACATACACCTGTATACATTTGTATATATAGTATATACATATATACATACATACATACATACATACATACATACATACATACATACATACATACATA